GGTTGTGAGACGTCGAGGCTCCCACACTTTCCAGACAATCGGCCCGTGAGGTCGTCAGTCTTACGCGCCGGCCGGCCTTTGCCCCCAAGAAGATTCCTGGTACTCATTTCTGTTAGAGGCTGAGTCGACCCCAGGGCCATAGTGCGGCTGGAATGATAGGTCAACTGGAAAACCCAATGACCTCATCGGCAATCGAACCCTCGACCTTCGGCTTGTATCATAGTGCCTCAACCAACTACGCCACCGCGTGCTCCATCTATTTATATTGGTACCTACATAAAAATAAAGCCACAGCAGGATGTGAAAACCAATTAGTATATAAGCCGTTATATTAGAGGGCGTTAGTACATGTCACACTTGAAATGATTACACATCCTAGCTGACGCACAGAAGGTTAGCATTGTTTATCTCTTCCCCGTCATTAAATGCGACCTTCTGAAACTCCGCCTACCGAAATATTGTATGAAAGAGTCCTTAAAGGCTGATGAAAACCAATGTTTTATTGTTACGCTAGCTGGGGCGACGCTTGGCTCCATAGAGCCAGAGCGTATGTACTCACACAGACCCTCTGCAGTGCCTTCCATGTAACGGGATCTGTTCAAGGACGCAGGTGCGTTGCAGTAAAAATTTAGGTAGCCTAACAAAATACAGTTCTAAAGAAGAGTTTACGAAAGAGTCGAGGGAAAGTTGTATAAAAAAAAAGATGTAACGGGACTGCGGAGTGTGGGGGAGTACCGTAAGCTTGTGTTGACAGATGTACATTAACCAGCATTCCAACCCAAAGGACTTTTTGAACAAAGGTAGACAGTTATCAGAGCTGTGGTTCTCTCAGCGGCAACGGGTTCTTTTCTGATCTTCGGCATTGTGATACCGTTGCATCATCAAGTGATTATAAAAATTTCGGAGGAAAATATCACCTCTATCTTCAAGTTGGAAATATTCTCACGGAGAAGATTGATATTCTGGTCTTCTAAGTACTTTTTTTACTTTTCTTTTACTGCTAGTTGGGTGGAACTAAGTCCCTTGTACTGCGGACACTTCTGGCCTATGTCTTCTAAGTAGGTATCATTGTTTCGATGGAATATACTGCCACCATCTTCAGAGTGTTCTCGCCACAAAGAAGATTCACATTCTGGTCTTCTACTTTATCAACTGTGCAGTCTGATAGACGGGTAGCAATGATTCAGTGGGAAACATTGCCTCTGTGTTGAGAGTAAAGTAAGTAAAGGTATCCCTGTAACAGGCCATGGAGGCCCATAGGGTTGTGAGATGTTGAAGCCCCCACATTTTCTAGACAATCGGCTCATAGATGGCGGCAAGGTTGTCAGCCTTATGCGCCGGCCGCCCTATACCCCCAAGACAATTCCAAGAATATTCCTGGTACTCCTTTCTGTTAGAGACTGAGTCGACCCCAGGACCATAATGCGGCTGGACGGATTACGTAAATTGGAAAAAAAAAAATCCAGTGACCTCATCGGGACTTGAACCCGCGACCTTCCGGCTTGTAGCATAGTGCCTCAACCAACTACGCTACCGCGTGCTGGGAGTAGAAGTAATTTTATGGGGGTCATGAAACATATTCTGGTTTTCTGTATTATGACACCGTATAGTCTGGCAAATGGGTAACAACGTTTCGTAAGAATATACCGACTCAAAACTGACGGTGTTAGCTCGTCAAAACACAAGATGTTATGGAACTCGATAATTCAGCACAATGTTCACTTTCATTAGCCAGTTTAGCCCACTCCACATCCTTTGCTTTAAGTAAGCGTCACTCTATAAATGTATGTATGGGGGTAGTGGCGATGTAGCTCCGCGCTTTCTTAACCACTGCACTAGATAGACGTGAGTTGCTAGTTCCACGCTCCGGTAGCTTCACCCCCCGAGGAAACAGCCCCCAGTACCCGTTGGATATGTGACTAGGTAGGCCCTAGATCTCGTATGAACGTTGTGGTGAAGAAAAAAGTCCCTGACGGGAATCGATCCCCGATCGTCTAGTCGGTAATTAAGTTCCACTCCATAATTCAAGCCTCTTTACTTGATGCAACAGGGTTCTGAGCCTATTCTCGCTCGAAAGCCGGGATCGTAGGTACGAATCCTGCTCAAGACATGGATGTCTGTGTACGTTTATTCTGTGTGTAGGTAGCGGCATGGCGACGGGATGATCACTCCTCCAAGGAGTCCTACCGACTGTGTACATGATCAAGAAACTGAAAAGCAACCAAGGTTAAAAAAAAAGCCGCGCCATAGCTCAAGCGGTTAGTCGCTGGCTTCCCACCGCGGCCGCCCGGGTTCGTTCCCGGGTCTGGTCAAGTGGGATTTGTGGTGGATAAAGTGGCGCTGGGGCAGGTTTTCTCCGAGTACTTCGGTTTCCCCTGCCAATCTTCGTTCCACCAATTGCTCCACAATCACCCTCACCTATAATCTGGGGCTGGTACAGTAGGCCAGAAGTGGCCGCAGTACAAGGGACTTAGTCCCACCCCACTAGCATTAAAAAGAAAGGTTCAACAAAAGGATTGTAGAGCCATAGAGAGCTGGATGTGTGGATGGATGCCTGGATCTCACCTCTGTTACTGTTTTTGTTTATGTGATATCTGCTGCCCTAGCAGTTACAGAAGGCTATGTTAATGTTTATGCGATGTGTTATTTTTGCATGATTTGGGAGGCAGCTTTGAATAAAATCGCTGTCCTGCTAATTACTGCGTTAAGGATGACATTAGTCTGTCCAGAATTTCAAAATATTGAGATTCATATACGCAACACATTGTGTATATTCTTTCTAAAGCTAAAAGGGGCTTACTGGGGCAAAACGCGTAGGGTTTCAGATAAAAAAAACAAAAACAAATTCCGTGGCTTGAGTCTGCAAGCGAACTATACCGACCGAGCTACCGCCGCTTCTCGTCGAAGTTACTGCCAACTTCAGCGGATAGAGGATGTAGCGTTGTCAGCGCAACGAATCCCCACGGCCGTTAATTTCGGGTTTCTACACCGGAGCCGCTAATTCTTTGAAATAGCTCCTCAGTTATCCTCACGAGGCTGAGTGAACTAAGTTCCAGACCCACTGCTTCTCAGAAAATCTGGTAGGACCGGGAATCTAACCCGGGACCTCTGAATCTGTAGCCAGGAACTCTGACCACTAGACCACAGAAGCGGTCACGAAACTAAAAGGGACTTTATGGGGCAAAACGCGAAGGATTTTAGACGCCAGACTTGAAGAAATATTATTCTGATCTGAATTGCAGCAAGCATTGTCCCAATTTAATCGACTTTCTATTTCTTCAATAACACAGTTATGATCTGTTACTGTCGTTCCCTAATATTTTATATGTTGTACAATTTCAAAGAACCTTAATATGAATTATATAAGTATTGTTTGGGGGCACGCGGTAGCGTTGTTGGTTGAGGGGCTATGCTACAAGCAGGAAGGTCTCGGGTTCAAGTCCCGATGAGGTCACTGGATTTCTTTCAGTTGACCTAATCCTTCAGCCGCACTATGGCCCTGGGGTCGACTCAGCCTCTAATAGAAATGAGTACCAGAAATTATTTAAATAATTTTCCTGGGGAGTAAAGCGCGGCCGGCGCATAGGGCTGACAACCTTACCGCCATCTTTGAGCCGATTGTCTAGATAATGTGGGACTCTCAACGTCTCACAACCCTATGGGCCTTCACGGCCTGGTACGGGGATAGCTTTACTTACTTTTACTTTTATAAGTATTATATTGCCATGACGTAGATATTTTTAATAAAATTTCCATTCTACCAGTGAAACATTTCAACTCACATTTGCATATATATCTGATGCTAAGAGCTAAGCATTCACATGCTTTGGCTATCTGTGGCCCCGTCAGCCTCAAGTAATCCTGACTATATTCCGTACGAAGGAACTTGCGTAACTGTACAGACAAACTAGCGGTGCGCAACACGCGTCTTTCCAAACTTTCCAGTATGGCCCGCAGAATAATTTCATCACCTCATAATTTATATTACATAGGTGGACAGGAAAACTGGTACATAAAAGTATTCCCCACCTCCTCAGTGCAGTTCTGTCTAGCCATATAATTAATTAATTATGTAAGCCCTAAGGTTGGGTTCGAGTGGTAAGATTTGGTGCTTACTGCTCATGAGATCCTGGACTGAAACCTCAGCTAGGAGATCGGCACTCCCGATTTGGATCTTTCGAGGTTTTCCTCAGTCTTTACACGAAAATGCCGACGCGAGCACGTCACAGTTGCCCAGAAACGCGTCCTTCCGCATCCTTTTCAATTCATTATCCTTTCATTCTAAGATGTACAACCTGAACTATAATTTAAATTCAATCAACAGAATGACCTCGAAACGAAACGATATTCTGTATACAAATCTGTCCGTCTGTCTATGTCTATGTTTATCTATTTGTGGCTCTACTGTCCTTGGTTGGGCCTTGTCCTCCTCTTCAGTTTTGTAATGTTTGTCACACAGATAGTAGGACGCCTTGTCCTAGGGATCAGCCCGTCGCAAGGCCGCTACCTGCACACGGGACAGCACAAACACAATAAACGCACACAGACATCTATGCCTCGAGTGGGATTCGAAACCAGGATTTTAGAGTTCGAGCTAGCAAAGTCAGTCCATGCCTTAGACCGCGAGGTCATTCGTGATCGGCTGATTTTGAATCACTACCAACTGAAAATGGTCTGAAATATGTCCTGGTACTGACTATACCTTACTGAAATAGAGGTATTTATAACGGTACACTGTGTTTTAATAAATCTGTTATAATTCTGGGATTAGAAAATGACATCTTGACAAGTCATTTGTATGCGCTACGTGACTGCATGTGTATTTGTACAGAAAACCAGTGTCAACATGGAGTACTTTACAGAGATACGAAGATCATGTTGACTGAGAGCTTCACTTCATCTGCACATGCGTGGAGTACACAATGCTAGGTCACACAAATAAAATTAACGGTTCTTACAATATATCATCTCAGAGAGTACTGGTGGCATCAAAACTGCTGCAACAGGCTAGACAGCGCTGAAGTGCATAAGTTGCGTGTGTTCGAATGTAAACCAGGGCACAAGAAGGGTACAGTAAGTTAGCACTTCAGGATAAATATCTAGTATATATAAAATGTAATTCATTTATACTTTTGCCTGTAGTTTTGTATAGGTGTCAAAACTGGTTTCAGCCTTTTAGGGAACGACATAGACTGAGGGTATTGTACACGTATAACCGAAGGTTTAGGAGAATATTTGGACCGAAGAGGGGTGAAATAAGAAGTTCGATAAAACTGCATAATGAGGATCTTCATAATTTGTACAATTCTCCAAACATAATTAGAATAATCAAACCAAGTAGGATAATATGGGTAGGGCATGTAGCACGCATGAGAAGATAAATGCATGCAGGGTTTTTGTGGGAAAGCCAGAAGGAAAAATACCACTAGGAAGACATACACGTAGGTGGGGAATGATTATAAAATGGATCTTGGATAAAGATAATGGTGTGGTATGGATTGGATTCATCTGGTCCAGGATGTGGATCAGTGGCAGGCTCTTGTGAAAACGGCAAAGACCCTACGGTTCCGTAATTTTTTTGTGAAATTCTTGAGTAGCTGAACAACTGCTGGCTTCTCAAGTAGGACCCACCTCCATTGAATTAGTCACTTGCTTGTTCCTTTGTTTGTTAGAGAGAAAATTTTGACCCTGCCGGCAATTGAACCCCGGCCGCCCACAACATCTGAAAGTGTGTGACGATGGTACATTATGTTTTTGTACATTATCCATTTTATTGTCTTTATCTAAAGACCGTCCTGTTTATTTTTCAAAACACAAGGTTTCGGAGACTGGATTCTGTCTCGTGGGCCCAATCGATAGAGCTAGTCCCGTAGCTCCCCATTACACCGGTCGAGCTATCGCCGCTCCTAATACCTGAAGTGAAATAATCCTTTTTTAAAAAAAGGCAATAGCAGCAACACAGCCTTAAATTATTTTTCATCAACTACTCCATATACTTGACAACACCGTCTTTAAAAGGAGCCCAAGGACCCCCCCCCCACACTCAAAACAGCGTAGAGGCACCGCCATGGATCGTTCTGGCTAGACTAGATCCTCATGTAAATTCTGAAACCACTGAAGCCCGAAATTGACCAGAAGCTCTTAGTGACTTATCGTTATTATCGTCTTCTTCATGGATTAAGCCATGCTTTGCCTGTCCCGTCCCTTGAACAGTACGATGATCCCTCAATTTTAACTGTGGGCCGTCTGTAATTCGTCTTCCTTTTGGGTTGTACGCTAAAACTTTCTCCGGAATACCTATGTCTCCCATCTGTAGAACGTAATGGTTCCGATGTGATCTGAATTTTATAATTTTGTTTTTCCTTAATGTTAATAATTCTTATTTGTTCCTTCTTTGTGTAGCCTGCTACACTCCTCAACATNAGCCCCGACTGGGGCTCATGGCCAGATTTTTTCTTTTTTTTTTTTTTTTTGTTATAGTTCAAAACTAGTGATTTGTTTGGTAAACATAACCGTAAAAGTTTCTGTAGGAAGAACCAAGGTCGCTTGGAGGTAAATGTAGTTACCTAGGAGAGAAAAACCCACAGTAATATTCTGAGGCGCCTGGCAAAATAAACCAGGTATTTAAATTTCTAATGGTGATGACCAGGGCCCGGATTTTGATGACATGTCATCTTTTTTTTCCTTGTATCCTATGCGATGCTCTTAAATATATATAGATCTCGGATATGAGCTGCTGGTTACAGAAATGTAAATTTTATATGAAATTTTTTGTCATTTTTAGGTTTAAGGTCATTTTTTTCATTTTGGAGGTAATTTTTTGGTAAATTTTTGGACTTTAAGGGTATTTCTTGTCATCTTTGACCTTCTTAGGGAATTTTTCTTCGTATGTTTTCTGAAATGTGAATAACATGGAAGCGAAGTGTTCTTTCTTTTCTCCTTTAGGTCATTTTTCTGGATTTTTCGGTCATTTTATAGGTCATTTTTTAAATATTTTCAGGTCATCAAAATCCGGGCCCTGGTGATGACTATGGAAAATACAGGTTTCTGGGTTGTAGCGCCATGTAGTTCGGAGAGAACCCGACAGTCCAGAGGAAAACATCACCTCCATATTTCGAATGGAAGAAATCAAGAAACCTGCTTAACGCCTGCTCCTTTTTATATTATATATTGATGTTAATTTCAATCCTGAAGATGGAGATGATGTGTTCCTCTGAAACATCGGACTCTTCTCGAAATACGCGGAGCTCAACCCAGAATACCGCACTCTTTAGAACAAGTATGCATCATTAAATATACCCCTTTCCTCTAACACATCATTATGTCTCATTTCAAGTTCTCATGCCATCTACTGAGAGAAATAATCTATGCATTTCTTAATGAAGGACCCATTTCTTTGGCTTTGGCGGTTTTTGACACAAGTACACCCAGCCGATAAATCGGAACGTGGCTTGCTGAAGGTTAATATCAAAAAGAAACTCCATGGCCCTTAGTCCGCAAGTGAACTATACCGACCGAGTGACCGCCGCTTTGGGACCTCTGGATCTGTAGCCAGGAATTCTGACCACTAGACCACAGAGGCGGTCAGGTTAATACCGTATTTACGCATGTATAGGCCGCACATTTTTTGCCAAAAATTCGAGAGGAAAACTGGGGTGCGGCTTATATTCGAAATCACACTTCATTTAAAAAAATTATATTCATAATTAGTAATACAGGGTGTAATACTCTTAAAATAATATTCCAAGAAAATTATTTTTTTCTATAATTTCTGTCTGAAAATTGTGCTGCGGCCTATACACGCACGCGGCCTATACATGCGTAAATACGGTATTACGTTCTATACAATATTAATAATATGTTAATATTACGTAGAATGTAATTTAAATTTACCGCATGTAATGCGAATAAAGTGTCTAAAACAAGGAGATGCTTTATCACCACTCCTTTCTAGCTTTGCTTAAGAATATGCCATTTTGAAGGTCCAGGAAAACCAGGTGAGACTAAATATAAACGGAAGACGTTAGCTGTTGATCTCTGCCGATGATGTGAATCTATTTGGTCATAATGTAGATACCATAAAGGAAAAAACACTATAATTTTAATTGACACAAGTAAACAGGTTGGTCTAGAAATAAACACTGAGAAAACTAAATATATGTTGCTATCTCGTCACCAAAATGCAGGGCAAAATCATGGCATAAAGACAGGAAACAGAGGTTTTGAAAATGTGGCACAATTTACATATTTGGGAACAACGGTAACAGATCGAAACCTGATTCAGGAGGAAATTAGGGGGAGATTGAACTCGGGTACTGCTTGCTACCATTCAGTCCAGGACCTTTTGTCTTCTCGTCTGCTGTCCAAAAACATAAAAATTAGAATATACAGAACTATAATTTTGCCTGTGGTTCTGTATGGGTGTGAAACTTGGTCTCTGACATTAAGGGAGGAACGTAGACTGAGGGTGTCTGAGAACAGGGTGTTGAGAATATTTGGACCGAAGAGGGATGAAGTGACAGGAGGTTGGAGAAAACTGCATAATGAGGAGCATCTTAACTTGTACTCCTCTCCAGGAATAATTAGAATGATCAAGTCAAGGAGGATGAGGTGGGCAGGTCATGTAGCACAAATGGGGGAGACGAGGAATGCATATAGGATATTGGTGGGAAAGCCAGAAGGAAAGAGTCCACTGGAAAGACCGAGGCACGGGTGGGTTGACAATATAAATGGATCTTAGAGAGAGATGGGATGGGGTGGTACGGACGGGATCGATCTGGCTCAGGATAGGGACCAGTGGAGGGCTCTTGTGTACACGGTAATGAACCTTTGGGTTCGATAAAATGCGGGAAGTTCTTGACCGACCTCGTTACTTGCGTGAATTAAAGTTTGTGTGTTGTATTACTGGACAGGAAGAATAAATTGTGGGCCTTGCCTCGAATCGGCACCTTATCGTGAGGATGTCTGTGGCAAAGCTGCTGAGTTATTAAGGAGTTTTAGTGTTGCGCAGAAATAATTTTTGAAGCTTTATAACGATCGAGAAGTACCAACTTAGTTTTCCATATAAAGCAGGAAAACTTATAATTCGCTGTGTTCATGTGATTGTTCATTATCCAAGCCAGAAGATATCTTCCCAAAGGAACCAGTATCCCGTGGGATACACAGAAACATCTTTGCGTTTTGGCTAAGGCTAAAGTAGAAGGGCCTTGAAGCCAGAGAAGAAGAAGAAAAAGAAGAAGAAGAATGACCCTTGAAATTATATCTAACTTTACACAGTCTAACACTTACAGAAGGTTTCTATTACTGTTGCCCTAACTGTTGATGTTGATTTGCTCTTAGGTCTTTGCAACGTGTGGCTGTAGGCGGTGTTGCCGACGTTTCGGAGGTATATGATATATCCATCTTCAAGGTCCTGAAGTTGAAGGTAGCATGTGCCTGTGAAACATTACTAACACTGTCCACGTTCACCCAGTTCAAAGACCCAAGAGCATATCAATTTTAACACAGGGTTCCTAATGAAATTTTTACTGAAGAGATCCACACGCGCGCACACACACACACACATACACACGGAGAACACTAGACAGATAGTCTAGTCTTTAATCTGACTCACGAAACGTGAAGTGTTAATACGTACTTTTCTCGTGGCGTAGCAGAATGAGTGACTATTGGCTCCATGGAGCAGTTAGTACTGTAGCGAAATACCCGAGAATGGAGGGAAATAACAAATGTCTAAGATAAATGGGTAAAAAGTAAAGTTCTACCCTTGCTTACCTAGTTAAGCACTATGCCATGACGACAAACGAGGGGGCGCAGATACACGAGCAGCTCCGCCATTATTGGCCGTGACACTAGTTGGAGGTAAGTGGTCAACTTCACGCCCCGGCCGCTTTACCCCCGAGGAGAGAGCCCTCAGTACCCATTGGATAGGAAGCTGGATGGGACCCAGAGCCGGTCTGGACGGCGTGGAGAAAAAACAATTCTTGATCCTACCAGGAATCGAACTCCGACTCTTCGGTCGTCCAGCCCGTATCCAGTCGCTATCCTCAGTAGTTATAATAGTGTAAGTAATTCTGTAGTAAATGTGGTGGCCATGTGAAAGGAGTCTACAAATTGTTTTCTAATCTGACGCTTACCATACTCTTGCCGCGAATTGCGCGTTATCGCAGTGTTTTGTTTTGTTAAATGGAAGACATCCGCTGAGGCAAGCGTGATGCGTTGCGTGCGTAATATTTTGGCTGATTCTCAGGAGATTTTGAATGAATAACTTCGCTGTGGAAATAATTAGCAATTTGCTCTCGAGAAGCTGAACTAATTTACAGTATCGTGACCACATTTCTCTTGTCAGACGTGGACTTTCACCTTCCTTTGATAAACTGCAATAGAAGGCAGTTAAACAGAACAGGATTCATACAGGCGTATTAGTTACGATAAGGTTAGTACCAGATATGTCTCATGTGAGGAGAATATCGAGTTGTATTGTAAGGCAGGCTCGAGAACCGGTTTCTATTGGAGGCTGTTACCGTTATTCTCTGTTCCAGCAGGCAAATAGGCTTAGACCTACTGATATACGTGTCAGTGGTGTTTCAGCAGTTCGACGGAGAGGAAGGGGAGATACTAACGAACATTCTACTTGTACGAAATACGGGATCAGTGCTGCATATTCGCATTTATTGCGTGACACCAAGTTTCTGCAACATAGTGTGCACTGTGCAAAGTTACATACTTTAACCATGCCCGAGACAAAGCCGTTTGAAAGACTACCAAAATTAGTGATTCCAAAACATTATAACCTGAAACTGAAGCCTAACCTGAAGACATTTGTATTTGAAGGTGAAGAGGCCATAAAAGTTGAGGTAAGGCACTGGATGTTATCGTGTATGGAGTGTTATTGTATATGCTAAAAAAATTGTTTTATTACCTATTCATATTTGGTTTTCATTGGTTAATTTATAGCATAATACATAGCTCAGTATTTTATGTTGCTGCTATTTTGCCTAGGTGAATCAGTCCACAGACAGAATAGTACTCAACTCTTTGGATTTGAACATCAAAAGCGTGAAGTATACTTCATCGGCTGGAAATCCTATTAAACCTCTGGATTGCAGTATATCGGCTAAAGATGAGACACTTACGTTGTTGTTTGGTGAGCCAATTCCAGTTGGTGAAGGATCACTTGAATTTAATTTCATTGGTGAACTTAATGATAAGATGAAAGGATTTTACAGAAGTAAATATGTGAGGTGAGAAAATTTGAATGTATTATCTTTATTTTAATTTTCACCCCGTGGATAAATACAGGTTTTGTTAGTGTGTAGGATATTCCTTAATTATGCACTTGTTTGTGTGAGGTGATCATTTCAAACCTTGGCCAGGTCACTTATTCTGACTGAATTTTTTTGTCATTTCCTGAGCTCCTCCTAGCAGTTGTTGGGATAATACCTCATTTAGGCCACCTCATCCTTCCAAATCCTACATAATTTGTCACCCTATCATCTGACACTATATAGTGTAGCTATTGATGGTGTTGCAAAATGATGCACAAGAATCCACACATGCTTCTTCGTCAATAGTTGTTCATTTGCAGCTGTATGATGTAATAACTACTAGATTTTCTATGATAATGAAATTCAGCAGGAAAAGTCTACTGTTTTCCTCACTAGGCAAGCCAGCCCATGAAGTGTAAATTCACTTCATGGAAGCACAGTCTAGAAAACTCAGTTTGTAAAGCACTCTCATCCACAAAACACTTTGATGTACTACTGAATTTGGTTTCTTATGGTTACTGCTGTAACAGTGGTTAACAGTACGGTTACCTGCTCGCCATTGGCAGGAAAAATTTTGGCTGGCAATTGAGTTCCCTCTGTGGGTGTGAGGGTTGAAAGTTAATGTAATGATGTACTTCAGTGGTTTTATTACCTTGATAAGCTATCCCTGTAACAGGCTGTGAAAGCACATAGGGTTGTGAGAGGTCAAGGCTCCAACATTTTCTAGACAATGGCTCACAGGTCATCAGTCATACACGCATTTATTTTTAGTTTATTTAGAGAGACTTTCTGTAGCTCAGATGTTGGAATTATTGAATTGGAAAGGAATAGAAAAAAGTGGTCATGTTCTAATTTAAATTACTGTGCTCACCACTTCAAGGACTAAAGGAAACCATGATAAATTCCAGAAGAACTGTCCTCCAATCTTGGATTTGAATCCAGGATCTACTGAATATGAAGCATGAACGCTAACAGTGTCCAACGTGTTTTAAATTTTGCAAATGTAGGTTTTTGTGTTGCGTGTGCTTTCTCGCATAAGCGGAAAACTTTGGAACCTAATGAACCTCATGGAGTATTTCCTGTTACGAATTAAATTATTACAAAACATGAGCAGAACAGTTGTTTTTGTCATGTGGCATATTGAGGAGTGCTCTTCTGTGAGCTGCTTTTGACAATCATGTAGTGAATAGTGCACAGTGTACATTACTTTCCATTCAGTTAATCGTGTAAATAATATAGACTAGTTATGGGCTGAAAGGGATTGTGATTTGGTATTGTTACTTAGCTGCTCCTGACTGAGGTATTTTGTCTTTTTTCACAGCGCCTCAAAGAGAATCATGCGTAACACCTCCAACTAGCTCATGACTGCTTCTTTCCACATTCTTTCCCTTTTGTTTTCATTAAACGTCCTGCCATTTGATGCCATATAGCGTGAGCTACATACAGGGTCATTAAATGAATCACAAGTAAATGTATAACTGGTCAAGAAGTTATCTGATTTGATGGAACCCAAAAGGCTAATTACTATGTTCATTAGAACCTGTCATTGCGCACTATATGGGTAGTTGAATCCAGACAAAACCCGATTTTTATATCTGATGTTCGTATACATTATAATATTATCCCTGTGTCTATGTTTCACTTTATATTGCGCTTGCCTCTTGACGTTCATGAGCCAAAGTTTTGGATGAATTTCTCAATTCCTCGTTACTGATACTCAGTTTTTGTATTTGTCATCATATTTAAGAGGGGGGCATGTGGTAGCGTAGTCTGTTGAGGCATTGTGCTACAAGCCAGAAGGAAAGAGACCACTGGGAAGACCAAGGCATAGGTGGGTGGACAATATTAAAATGGATCATAGAGAGATAGGATGGGATGGTATGGATTGGATTGCTCTGGCTCAGGATAGGGACCAGTGGAGGGCTATTGTGAACATGGTAATGAACCTTCGGGTTCCATAAAATGCTGCGAAATTCTTGAGTAGCTACAGACTTGACTTCTCCTCAAGAAGGGCTCAGCTCCATAAGTAAGATATTTCAGTTGTCCTTTGTTAATAAACACAAAAATCTCACCCAGAGTCATCTGTTTTTTATTCTTCCTTTTAGTTTTTGGAGGTGGTTCCGAGATTTGTAGGAAATTTGTGCATACCCGATCTTAATAGTCACTGTCAATCACGGTTTATTAGTGCTCCTTAATTATTTCTTATTGGTGATTGGGATACAGATTGTCTGGTGAAGAAAGTGAGCCTGTGACATCGTACTCCGCAGTGACACAGCTGTGCAGTACACATGCACGTGAAATGTTCCCATGCTGGGATGAGCCATCTGTAAAGGCTACATTCGATATCACCGTTATACTGGACTCAAGTTCATTGGTGGCGCTTTCAAACATGGTAAGCCAACTGTTCATCATTTTCCCTTGTCTTTTTGCAGTCCAGATGGAGAGGAACATTACGCTGGCGTCACTCAGTTTGAACCTACGGATGCCAGACGTTGTTTCCCATGTTGGGACGAGCCAGCCGTCAAGGCAACGTTTAATGTAACTCTGGTTGTTCCTGAGAATAAAGTTGCACTGTCAAATATGGTAAGTAGAGAACATGCTCTTACACGTGTCTGTCTGTATAAAATTGAAATGCAGCTGTGAGATAAAAGCTAAAAAATTATGTGGTACTGGGTTACCTTAGCTGCACATTTATGAATACAGGTTTTTACTATGGCTAGTAGAGCATGAAGGAATTTCCAGTGTGTTCTAAGGGTCTGTCAGCCAGATACCGTTATCTTATCTGTGAGGTGAAGGACACCTGCAAATCTTTTCAACATCATCACAGACTCTCTTATCCTTACAGTAAGGTAAAGCTATCCCTGTAAGAGGCCGAGGAGGCCCATAGGGTTGTGAGATGTTGAGGTTCCCACATTTTGTAGACAGTCGGCTCACAGATGGCGGTAAGGTCAGCCTTATGCGCTGGCCTCACTTTACCCCCAAGAATATTCCTGTACCATTACATTTTATAGACAGTCGGCTCACAGATGGCGGTGAGGTTGTCAGCCTTACACACTGGCCACCCTTTACCCTCCAGGAAGATTCCTGGTACTCATTTCTGTTACAGGCTGAGTTGACCCCAAGGCCATAGTGCGGATGGAAGGGTTAGGTCTATTGAAAAATCCAGTGATCTCATCAGGAATTGAACCCACTAACTTCCAGCCTGTAACATAGTGCCTAAACTAACTACGCTACCGCATGCCCCAAAAGAGTCCCGTTCCTTCACTAAATCACAAAAGCATGAGTAAAGCTTAAGTTTGTTCACAAGACACCCCAGGGAAATGAAGCATTCATCAATATTAAAATTGCGGATGGAATGCTTATATCAGTTGCCGAACTTCATGCTCAGTTGATATATTATTATTGGAGGGGGTGGGTTTCCCCATGCACTTAGACCGGTTATTGGTCCAGTGTGCATCCCCCTTTAATTTCTACTGTCCCCATACCCTACTGGTAGACAGTGCGTGCTATCAGCCCTGTTGAGCCAACGAGGTTGGCCCTCGGTACCTTGATACCTCCCCCATCTACCGGAGGCATTGGAAACTACTTGGGCGGGAAAGTTATTACCTAATAATTTTGCTCAGAGGTCTCCTAGAGACATGAGGTTCTTTTACGTGCCATAAATCTACGACATGGGACCCACGGCTTAAAGTCCCTCCCGGAGGACTTGTTCCCTGAATTTTCCTGCCCTTAAAAATTCCATGACCTCCACCAGGTTTGAACCCGCGTACCTTGAGTCATGAGGTGGGAATGTTACCCTTAGACTACGGAGGCCGCTACAGTTGATATATTTCTACCAGGCTATGCTCAGGTTGCTTGGCTTAATCTTTGACCCTGAAACTGGAGGTAGTATGTTTCATAAAATGTCAGTAAACTTCTATCAGACAAAACTTTGAAGATGGAGGCAGTGTGTTACTCTGAAACATTAGTAAAATTCTACCAGATAACTTGATTGGCTTACTCTTTGGTCATGAATGTTGGTAAACATGTAGCGCTTTCTTACTCTTTTTGAACAGATGGTTTTAGGTTATGTTCATATTTTTTAAGCATTCTAGTAGCTTTGGATTTGCTGATATTTTTCCGCCTGTCCACCAGAGTACAAGGTGTCACATCCCCTTCAAGTTTAGTCATGTGTTGTTACTCTCATTGCAGCCAGTGATGTCTGACGAGGTTGAAACAGACTCTGGGCTACGTGTGGTGAAGTTTCATACGACTCCCATTATGTCAACATACCTGGTTGCTGTAGTTGTCGGAGAATACGACTATGTGGAAGATGTGTCACTTGATGGTGTGCAGGTTCGTGTATACACACCTGTTGGAAAGAGCGAGCAAGGTCGCTTTGCGCTAGACGTTGCCACCAAAGTGCTTCCGTATTACAAGGATTACTTTCAAATTGCATATCCATTGCCAAAGATTGATCTCATCGCTATAGCAGATTTCTCATCAGGTACTTAATTTTGTTAGATAAATCACCACACATTGTCATACTGTCCGTCTTTAACCTTTGTTATCCAGGAAGAAGGGTTTTAAATCTTCCTGCTACTACAGCACTGAAGCTTGATTTTAACCTTCGTAGTAACACATTTATCGCCTGTGGTTCTGTATGGGTGTGAAACTTGGTCTCTGACATTAAGGGAAGAACATAGACTGAGGGTGTTGAGAATATTTGGACCAAAGAGAGATGAATGACAGGAGGTAGGAGAAAACTGCATAATGAGGAGCTTCATAACTTGTACTCTTCTCCAAGTATAATTAGAATGATCAAGTCAAGGAGTATGAGGTGGGCAGGGCATGCAGCACAAATGGGGGTGATGAGGAATGTGTATAGGATATTGGTGGGAAAGCCAGAAGGAAAGAGACCACTGGGAAGACCAAGGTGTAGGTGGGTGGACAATATTAAAATGGATCTTAGAGAGAGAGAGGATGGGATATTATGAATTAGATTGATCTGGCTCAGGATAGGGACCAGTGGAAGGCTCTTCTGAACACGGTAATGAACCTTCGGGTTCCATAAAATGCTGGGAAGTTCCTGAGTGACTGCACAATTGGCGGCTTCTGAAGAAGGGCTCAACTCCGTGAGTGAGTGAGTGAGTGAGTGACACTCTAAGTAGCTCAGAATATATAGTGTCAGATGGCTTGATGATTAACAAACTGCAAAGGAAATGGAAAGAAGTTTTCTCAGTTTAATTTAATGCACTGTCCTCTCATTTTACTGGAGGGACAGAGGAAAACCATGAAAAACCTCAGTCTGGATAATGTTACTGAGATTCAAACCAGGCATCTCTCTGATGCAAGCTAGAGACATTACTGCTTCACTGAAATCGCGGTAAGGATGGTTATGACTGATGAATTTTAATGGAATAGAGGAGTATCCAATCTCCATTTATTTTACTATACATTGTATGTTATTAATTTATCAAGTTCTTAATGTAATTTTGTAGGTGCTATGGAAAATTGGGGTCTGGTTACATACAGAGAGCCTTGTCTGCTGGTGGACCCTGAGAATACATCTTCTATAAGGAAACAATACATTGCTCTTGTAGTAGGACATGAATTAGCCCATCAGTGGTTCGGGAATCTAGTCACAATGGTACGTAATCACCAAGTCTTCTGAAACCGCAGGTCCATTTATATTCTTAGTTTTATTGTAAGTTTTTGGCCAAAATGATCGTTTTTAATAATTGTGTATTGAAGCATTGTGGTGGTTACAAAAAAACATAAAGCCATCCTTGTAACAGGCCATGGAGGCCCTTAGGGTTGTGAGTTGTTGAGGCTCCCACATTTTATAAGACTCAGGTGGTAGTGCGGTTCTTGGCATTATGTGCTGGCCGCCCTTTACCCCCAGCAAGATTTCTGGTACTCATTTCTGTTAGAGACTGAGTCAACTCCAGGGCCATAGTGCAGCTGGAAGGATTAGGTCAGTTGAAAAATCCAGTGACCTCATAGGAAATCAAATCCATGACCTGCCAACGTAGTTCACTTAATACTACGTTTTTCTGTCATTCTTTGTGCAACTTTTTTATTGATATCCTGGATTGTGTGTTCTAATCCATCCGTCAGCCAATAACAGCAGAAGGAATACAATATCTAAACACTGATAATCAAAAATATGGGCCGTGAACAACTACAGAAATATAACAGCAACATTAGGGTACTAATCTAATTTTAATTTCCAGTTTAATTGCAATTTTATCTTATGACATGAACCTTAAAAAACAAAAGGAAAAGTAAGACAGTGGGTTACTTCACAATAACAGCTCCTGTACTGTATGGGTATACCTGACGATGGTCCGATGCAACTGAAATGTCTTGTGTTCAATTTACATGATTTCATCATTTGCAACATTCTTTTTGGGGACATAGCTGTTATGTAAATTGAGGATTACTTGTATGCAATTTGTATGGCATTAGTGTTATACTTGAATTACTTAAATGTGGCTGTCATAGTTTCATACTTTCACTATTAGACAGTTGCACATAAGAAGTCTGTAATGTTTAAACTTGTGTTTCTCTGTTTCCACAAGGAATGGTGGACACATCTATGGTTGAATGAAGGTTATGCGTCCTTTGTTGAGTTTCTATGTGTTGCTCATCTTTTCCCTGAATTTGACATCTGGACTCAGTTTGTCGCTGACACATACATTCCTGCACTTGAGCTTGACTGTTTAAGAAACAGTCATCCTATTGAGGTAATGTATATTATTTATATTGGTGTCTTTGTGACATAATTTTAAAAGTCTTCAGTAGAGCTACCTAGGACATTATTAACAAAAATTGGTAAACACATCCTGAGGATTGTCATTAGTCTTTACTGGCCCCTACAGTTTTATAATAATGCATGCACTTGTCCAGCAGAACAAGTATTGGATTTCTTGATTACTGCAACTGGCTATAGGCTAGATGACAGAGGGTTCAGAGTTTGAGTCCCAGTAGGATCAAGAATTTTCTTTTTTCCACGTCATCCAGACAGGCTCTGGGGCCCACCCAACCTCCTATCCAATGGGTACTGGGAACTCTTTCCCCAGGGTTAAAGTGGCAGGGGCGTGAAGCTGACCACTCATCTCCATCTAGTGCCAAGGTCAAGAAAATGCGGATCTATACATTCACTCCCCCATACGCCTTCATGGTGTAGTGCTTAATTAGTTAAGCACAGTGACAACTTTACCTTTATACCTTATTAACACAGTTACTAGCCATCAGCCTGACAGTACCGATGGATTTTTTGCAACATGATATATTGACCAATGTGTGTTGGATTATAGAGGTATCCCAAATGGTAAAGACACTTGGTAACATGGCAGCAGGTGTCACTGTGTTAAGCAGGTATGGCCACATGACCTCAATCGTGATAGAACTAAAGAAGTCATATCAAACGTGAACAGTCAATTTACTGCTTGCAGTTATTTGTCTTGTGTGTGAGTCAGTTTGTCTTGCAAGGATGAAAATGCAGTGTGAAGAAGGTGACATGAACATCATTGTTCAGAGATCATTCTGGTGACATTCTCCATGCAAGAAACAATTGGTTTCCATGCCGTACAAAAGCAGGACGCTTTGTGCAAAATGTCAGTAAGAGCTACGTGGGCCTGTGTATGTCCACTCTTGATGGCATACGTATTTAATGAAACTGTGATTTAGTGTTCAGGAGTTAATCATTAGACAGGTTATCTGTGGAAACTAACCAGAGTGGGATCCTATCATTGTTTGTTCCATTTTAGATGATTCATGGGAAATACTGGGCTGTGTGGTGGTAACAGTGAAATGATAGTTGTCATGATATTTATGTTTATTTTATATTTGAGGGACAAATCACTCAGCCTCCAAGCATTACAGTTGAAGTTGTGAATGAAATAAATGTATCTTCATTTAAGTGTGAACTAGGCAATGACAACTGCGAAGGTTTGTTGCCAGTCGAAAGAGAAGTTGGATAATTTTAATGAAGTTTGTTTTTGTAGATAACCTTTGCAAAAAAAAAACAAAAAACATTTCTTCCGCTACATTGCATAACCCAAATTGATTGTCTGTCGTGTTTAGTATTGTCTTAGCTAAAGGTAGCTCTTCTTTTCTGGAATATTTCAGGTTGGTGAAGTTAGATAAGTTTCTTTGTAACAATTTTCTATTGGAATTTCTGTTTTCTTTTCAGTAGAAAATTTCATTTCAGTATGTGGGGTGAATCTTGTTACAGGTTCCAGTTGGACATCCTGCGGAAATTGATGAAATTTTTGATGATATTTCCTACAACAAAGGAGCATGCGTTATCCGAATGCTTCATAAGTACATTGGGGATGCAGTAAGTCATGAATTAGCTACAAGGATATTAGTACCAGAACGTAAAACAGTGGAGTGTGATGTCATAATCCTGTAGATTGTTGCCAGCGTTTTGGAGGAATATCTGCCTCCATCTATGAGACAACCCGTAAATGTTATTGGCCTTCATATGGTAAATTGGGTATAATGTTCTGTTATCCTTAAATACAAAAGTTTAAATCTCAATTCCACAAGAGTTGGGACTATTCTTTAACTTGAAGGTATCTGTATTAATAAGAACAAGAAGTTACTGCAAATTGAGGGTTGGCCTGCATAGAAAACACCGTATCCAACACTTCTTTTATTGCATCTGGATTCATTGCCATGGTCGCCTCTGTGGTCTAGTGGTCAGAGTTCCTGGCTGCAGATACAGAGGTCCCGTGTTCGATTCCCAGTGTTACCAGATTTTCTGAAAAGTAGTGGGTCTGGAACGGGGTCCACTCAGCCTCGTGAGGATAATTGAGGAGCTACATGAATGGAAAAGTAGGGGCTCCGGTCTAGAAAACTGAGATTAACGGCCATGGGAATCCGTTGCACTGACCACGCGACACCCTCTATCCACAAAAGTCGGCACTAACTTCACCGACAAGCAGCAGTCACTCGGTTGGTATAGTTTGCTTGTGGACTAAAAGCCATGGAGTTTTTTATATATATTGCCATGGGAATGCTTTTACTGAGCCATTGTCTAGCAGTGTTTGACTCCTCTGGCTCCAGTATTGTGGCTTTCAGGCATCATGTCACATTGCTCCCTCCTTAAGGCTGTTGGAAAGTTTGAGAGGCTGTAGTGTTCGTATTACTGGTGGCGAGATTTATGAAGTATGCCATTGAGATGGGATCAGGTGACATGATATGCATACAAAGTTTCATAAGGATTGATTCAGACTTTCAGAGATTCTTAGGGGGATACACACAGGGAGCAGGGTGATCTCATAGGCCTACTTGCATTTTTTCAAGAAAGAGTAGGCTAAAAAAATGCCTGCTTACCCCATCTACCAGAGGTATTAGTGACTGCTGTTGGGCGGGAAATGTCCGCAATTTTGCTCAGTGACCTCCTTTGGAGGTATGAGGTTCTTCTACATGCCGTAAAGCTACGACACGGGACCCACGGCTTAAAGTCCCTCCTGGAGGACTTGTTCCCTGAATTTTTCCGCCCTTAAAAATTCGATGACCTCCGCCAGGTATTTGAACCCGCGTACTACGAGTCATGAGGTGGGAACGTTACCTCTAGACTACAGAGGCCGCTAAAAAAAATGCCATACTCAGCCAGCTAGACCACATGTGCTTGACAATTTGATAGTGTGACACATGGCAAGGGAAGGTTAAACGGTAACTATGTTACCAGCCATTGAGGCTTTTCTTGGTTTTATTCAGTTCATTTCTGGTAATTCATGATATAATTCCTTAAGTTTTTGCCACAATCACTGCCCTTCCAGTTCACTGTATATGTTCATTCTTTCATCTCATTAGACGCTGAATAACTTGCAGTCATTATGGCAGCATAGTTAAATAACCATGTAACCTGATTAATGGTTTGTGTGTTTAGGATTTCCGGAAGGGAATGAACCTGTACCTGACCCGCCATCAGTACAGGAATACTTTTACAGAAGACTTGTGGTCTGCTCTGGAAGAAGCTAGCAACAAGCCAGTACGTGCTGTGATGTCTTCATGGACCAAGCAGATGGGGTTTCCCATAGTGAAAGTGTCAAGCGAGCAAGACGGCAGTGATCGCAAAGTGGTCATTTCACAAGAAAAGTTCTGTGCGGACGGAAGTTACGACTGTAAGTACCACACTAATCCTTTAAAAGAACTCAGTTACTTCATTTTACTTCGATGTCATTTTTAATGTGTAATAATGAAATGTGCAAAATATGGGGTGGCCTGTAAGTCCTGCCCCATAAGGATTTTTTTTTAAATGTATTTGTTACTTTATATTAAATTGTTGGGGGTTGTCGTCCGGGGTTGCTAAGCTTCAGCGGGCGAATGATGATCCTAAGATGATTGTATTGTTCTTTGTCTTGTGTACTGTTTTGTACATTTTTAAATCTGTATAGTTCGCTTCTGGTCTAAAACCATGTTGTTTGTTGATTTGTAGTGTTTAGAAGGTTTTAACGGACTTGCCCAATTGTACTTGTATAACAGTTTACAGATGTTAAATAAATTATTATTATTATGAATTATATCCATGGGTCACAGCTGTGTCAGTGCATGCATGAGTCAGGAGATGTAGTGTCACACTATGTACAGCAGTGTTTCTCAACTGCTGGGCCCCGGCATGAATTATTCTAGGCCCTTGTCGTTATGGAAAGAAGAATTTACCGGGCTGCAGTCTGACAGAGGTTGAGAACCATTGGTGTACAGTATGAATCCAGTTATGGATATTCTGAGAGGTGAGCACTAGTGGCATAGCAGCAGGGGATTTAAACCCCCTGCTGCTGAATGGTAAGGGTTGATTGTTGTTAAGATGTCATAATGTTCGAATACATGGTGATTTAAATTAATGCATTTCTCCTGGATGAATCCTGCAGGACAAAATACATGAAATGCTACTTGATGGCTTTTTTTTTATTACTAGTGGGGTAGAACTAAGTCCCTTGTACTGCGGCCACTTCTGGCCTATTGTACCAGCCCCAGATGACAGAGAGGGTGATTGTGGAGCAATTGGTGGAATGAAGATTGGCAGAGGAAACCAAAGTACCCGGAGAAAACCTGCCCCATCGCTAATTTGTCCACCACAAATCCCACTTGACCAGACCTGGGCCGCTGCGGTGGGAAGCCAGCGACTAACCGCTTTAGCTATTGGATACTTTTTGGCTACTTATCTACAGTAGTTCAGTTTTTGTAAACCCCTGAAGCCCTCTTTCCTGGGAACTTTGCATGGGCAAAGTACTACATTAATGATGGATGTCGTGTTTCCCAGAACTTGTGTTCTGAGTTCTTATTAGACTGCTAGAGTTCTTATTATTTTACAGCAAACGTGTATATTGTTCGGAGTTTATGTTGTTAATGTTGTCATCAGTTCTGATTTGAAATTGATATTGTGTCTGCCTTGATACTGTGTCATGCAGGGCTTTGCTGCTAGAATTATGTCAACGTTGGGCTCCACAGGGTTAATTTCACAGCTGAATAAGAGCACATGAATTATATGATAAAGTACAGTAATGTATTTTTATTCCAAGGACTGAAATAATATATTGGTGTGTACATTTTGACAGCTTGTTGAATATTTGCTGCGCACTGAATGGTGTGCCGATCACAGTGACCGTGTGGTCTAAGGCATGAAATGTCTTTACCCACTTGAACACTGTGGTTGTGGGTTTGAATCCCACTCAAGGCATGGATGTCTGTCTGCATTTATTCTGTGTTTGTATTGTACTGTGTAGGTAGTGGTCTTGTGGCAAGCTGATCCTCAGTCCAAAGGGTCCTACTTACTGTAAGATTAACAAACTGAGGTGAAACAGCATTTCTTGGATGCCCCATGCTCCAGAAGGGAGCAGCAGGAATTAAAATAATAATAATGATAAATAAACTGAATGTGTGTTAAGTTTCCTGAGTGAAGAGTACATTAGTTATAAATTCTGAGGTTTTCATGGTGCTGACTCTTAAGATAGTGGTCTTTTGGCCTGTGACACTGAGTAAGTTTTGTATGCAAAGAAACTTGCTGGCGTCTTCTTCAGGGTTGAAGTTACTGCATCCCTGATAATGAAGGCAGCACTTTCTTCCAAAACATTCTACCCCAAAGATGGGGGGCAACATGTTCCTACAGTTCATTCAACCCTGCAGATGGGGTCGCATGTTCTCCGAAATGTTCAGTCCTGCAAGTGGGCCAACAAATTCCTCCGAAATATTCAGCCACAAAACTGCATGGTGTCACAACCTAGAAGACACAGTCTTAAGTGAACTCGATATCATGTCATTGTGTTTGGTAACCTTGTCACTTTAAGGTGATGGGACCCGCTGGATGATCCCAGTGATGTTCAGCACTTCACAGAAGCCGGGTGAAGTGGCTCATTATACACTCCTTGAGAAGGATACATCAGAAGTGACTTTGAAGAATGTAGCAGCTAGTGATTGGATTAAGGTGAACCCAGGCACTGTGGGTTTTTACCGCACTCAGTATCCGCCACAACTTTTGGAGCAGTTTGTGGCACCCATACGTGACATGTCTCTCCCGCCACTTGACAGACTTGGCCTGCTTGATGATCTCTTTGCCATGGTAATTTCATAGTTCAGTGTTTCCCAGTTTATAGGATGTGTCCCACTGATGGGGTTCTGTGGTNTGCATCCGTTCTGCGGTGGTATGACTCACGGCAAATTGCAGCCGCGGCGCGCACTTGATTGTACGCACTGTATAACAGACGATGGATAGGGTCCAAAATAAACCTTAGTTATGTATGCATAAGGTTACTCAGGGTTACTGCTGACAACTGTTTTGTTTTGATATACTCGTAGCAGAACATGAAAGAATTGCTACAGTTTTCAGGCACTGATTTTACAGACTGGTATATATATCAGCAACATGAGGTCATTCACCACATTGACCCTGGTGATGGAGACGAAGGAGATTTTGAAATGTTGGTTTTTAACTCGACATTGGCACAGCTAATTGCTGGAGGAGATTTTAGCAAATTGTTAACTTTGTAGGAGCTGTCAGCAGTAATTAATATAATACTGAAATGTACATAATTGTAAGAAAACACTTCTCGAAGAAAGACAAGCTATGTTTTCACTATGGCAGGACTGTAGTTTTCTGGTGGAATGACTTGGAGTCCAAGATGCAGATGTTTGAGGGTCACTCACCAGGTTTACAAGATTGATGTATTACTGAATGAATGAAGGGCCTAAATGGATCAGAAATTTAACGTTTTCTTAATGGAAAATAAAAGATGAAACATAAAATATTATTCATGTTTCACATATAAGTCATGTCCTCCAACATAATAGCCGAACTTTGGAAATATATTCTGCAAATCCTTTTTTAAAGAACTGTTTCTTCACAACTGTCATTGTGCATAAGTGTCACTCAAATGCCCACATGCATTTTGTGTAGAGATTTTGCATTGAAAACTGTAGAACCTTCACATGTGGAGGCAGGTTAGAATACATTCACTGTAGCCCTGAGTCATAGAGGGTGACAGGGAACCCATTTCCTGGGGGTATAACTGGGCCACCATGTTCCTGGGGGCTATAAATATGGAGATCTGATACTGCAGGTTTGCAGGTTGGATTCGAGGCTGATGACCTCACTCGCTCATAGAGCTGAGCCTTTCTTGAGGAGCCTCCAATTCTGTAGGTACTCAAGAACTTCCCAACATTTTATGGAACCCAAAGGTTCGTTACCATGTTCACAAGAGCCCTCCACTGGTCCCTATCCTGAGCCAGATCAATCCCATCCTATCTTTCTAAGATCCATTTTAATATTGTCCACCCACCTATGTCTTGGTCTTCCCAGTGGTCTCTTTCCTTCTGGCTTTCCCACCAGTATCCTATATGCATTCCTCTTCTCCCCTATTTGTGCTACATGCTCTGTCCATCTCATCCTCCTTGACTTGATAATTCTAATTATACTTGGAGAAGCATACAAGTTATGACCTTGCTGTGTAAAAAATATTGGTGCAAAATTCAAAGAAAAGAAAACTTGATGGTCTAATTCATGCCAGGAACAGATGAGTCTGTCGGAATCTTCTGAGGAATGCTATGGCTCGAAAAGGACTGTTTTTTTCCAGTGATGTTGATGCTGAATGGTAGGGCCAATGTAGCAGAATATCAGCAGTGCTTCCAAAATTGTAGAGTTTGGATAGAAACATGTTGTAACCTTTAACCACTTAACGCAATGACTGAAAGTACATGTATGTTGTAAGAATCATGTACTGAAGTTGTCACTGAGTCCTGAGGAACATTGCAGGTATAACAAACACAGCAGTGCTCTGAGCTGAGTAGGAATAGGGAACAAATCACAACATGTTTCAGTGAATGCTGCTGAAAGGGTAAAGTTAATAATTTAGTTGTAATCTCTTCAGTTGGCAAGGGACAGGGTTCTGACACATTACATTAGCACTTAACTTGATAATCATGAATTGAAGTACCATTTATAGGACTGTAGAGCATTCTCCCAAAATCTGGCAGTTAAATGGTGCAGACATTCTGTATAACAAGGCCGGTAATACCGGTGATAATATCTTGTAACCTCATTTGCTTGAGCTGGTGTTAGGTTAATTTTATTAATCGTAAAGATTGCTGTTCTCTGCAGGTCCAGGCAGGCCATACGCCCACCGTTGAAGTGCTGAAACTTCTGGAAGCATTCACTAATGAAGACAACTTCACAGTTTGGTCAGCTATCAACAACTGTCTTAGCAAGCTGTCTAGTCTTCTCTCTTGCACCGATTATGAAGATCTCTTCAAAGCATATGGGCGCCGGCTCTTGCAGGGGGTTTATTCACGTGTGGGCTGGGATCCACGGGACAATGAAAGTGAGTATGTGGACATGCCCTGTTACAAAGAACACATTGAGGTGACTGATGTTTTGAGAGAGGCTTATTAATGATCAGAAGGAGAAAATATAGTTTTGGAACTAGGGTTTGAGTCTGAAAATGAAGTTTGTTTCTTCTCAGAATTGTGCTGTTATGTGGATTGGTACAAATGAGGAACAGTTTCTTGTAGGAACAGATCCACAGTAAGAAATGTATGATATCGATGGTCGGAGTTTGATCTAGGTATTGATCGTTGTCTTTGTCCCCCCTCACCAAATCGCCCTCGTCATTTCTGCAAGGGTGTGTCATAGCTGTTAGCTGCAGAACCACTTTGTCTCATGTCAGCGGCGGAATGTTTGTTGCAATAACCACACCGTGGCTGGCTCTAAGAGGCCCATTTACTTTCCTATCAAATGGATATGGAAGCATGTTTGAAAATTATTTCATTCAGGAATTGTGGTCGGTGGACGAAGTCCAGAAACTCCCTAATGACACGATTTGTGTAACAACTGGGGGAAATTTCATGGGCTCATCATGCTCATGTTATTTGTGTGTAAACGGCTCCAGGTCACCTAGATACGTTACTGAGGGCTCTTGTCATCGGCCGATTGGGTTCATTTGAAGACGAAGCTGTAATTGCTGAATCGCAGAAAAGGTTTGAAGCTCATATATCTGGAGGTCCGTTAATACCAGCCGATCTTCGTAGTCCTGTCTACAGAGCGGTCCTGTCTGCTGGAGATGAATCCACTTACAATACCATGCTTCGGGTATGTTACATTTAGAATTTGATGAATCACTTTTATTATAGTGAATCTTTTTATTTTTATCAGATATGTTTCTGAAAGGAAAAGGTGCCTTTTAGGGCATTAGATGTCATGTTCATGTCTTGCACACGATTCACATCACGAAGTAATGTTGTAGGACTAATTCCTGAGGAAGATTTTCCTCACATTTTATAATTTGTTTCATACTGGGTAACAGGACATTTTAAGATCAAAGGTAAAATTATCTAATCAACTGAGCAACATGATGTGAAGACAAGGGGAATGGAGATACAGCTCCATGCTTTCTTAAGCTTTGTACTAAATGGCAGTGAATGATCAACTTTTCTCTTGAGGAAAGGGCCCTCGATACCCATTTTAGGGAAGCTTGATGGCTGTCAAGAGTCGGTCTGCATGTGATGACAAAAAAATGTGTCCCTGCTGGGAATTGAACCCTGGTCATCCAGCCCAAAGCCTAGACAGTATTCTGGCTCCAGCATGATATTTCAGATATTTTAAGTGCTGGTCTTGTGTTGTATATAGTGCATGGATGGTAATACCTGCTCAGATATAAAAAATATTTTAGTTCTGTTACTTTCCATACTGAGAATGTTCCGTGGATTCTGTGTCACTCTGTAGGAACATACACCCCTTTACACAGGATGCAGTGAAATCATGATTTAGTTTTCCCACATTTACTGAAATTTTGTGATCCTAACTGAAGCGCAGTATTAGCAGTGAGCTGTTTTCCCATATTTNCCCCGGCACTACAGCCTCAAGGGCCTAGGCCTACCTCCATGAACTTCTCCATTCACTTTGGTTTTTCTAAATCTTACACATTCGGTAGGACTCCTTGGGCAGGTGATCAGCTCGTCGCAAGGCCTCTACCTGTACACAAACACAGAAAAACACATGCACACAAACTAAACATCCATGCCCTGAGTGATCTTCGAACCCACGATCCCAGTTTCCAAGCGAGCGAAGACAGTACATGCCTTAGACCGCTCGGCTGCTGTTTTCCCATATTAGTGAATCAAAATTTAGTAATAACCCACATTTAGTACAGGAGTCAGGATAGCTTAGTTGGTATAGTGACAGGTTACGGGCTGGACATTGCAGGTATCAATTCCTGGCATGGGCAACTTACATATTCAACGTGCCTAACTCATGCTGCTTGTGAATCATAATTGCTTCAGTTCTCATGTTCTCTCATACTTTATTTTGTATTATTAATTGCTTTAGAATTTAATTTGATATTGATTATGTAATTGTCTTTATTTGAATAGAAACAATTTCTTTGATCACTTACACAAAGAAATAATTTTGTCATAATTGGTATGTAGAACAGTTTCTTGATGTTATTTTGCATAACTACCATTTAGTACAAACCTCAGTTTAGTGTAACAAAAATGTTATTTTCAGGGATTTATTAAATAGGGATTTCACTGTACTTTTGTGTTCCGATTAACTGTTGATGGAATGGGATTTTGTAATGAGACAGAAAATTTGTTGCAGTTATATCGAGAAGCTGATTTACTCGAAGAGAAGGATCGTATCTCTCGAGCACTTGGAGCCATTCGTAATGAGGAGATTCTAAAGGAAGTGCTTCAATTTGCCATGTGTGTGAGTTGTCTGTATTTGTATTGAGTTCATAGTCATTTCATAACAGGAGAAATGATACATTTTCTCTCTAAGGTATGTTACTCCTCTTCCTGAATTGAAAATTCTCTCACAGTTCTCCCACCTTAATGTATTGAGCCCCAGTACAATAAATTTTCATTTTAAAGATATACTTCATGTTATCCAGGTAAAAGTAAAGCTAGCCCTGTACCAGGCCGTGAAGACCCTTAGGGTTGTGAGACGTTGAGGTTCCCACATTATCTAGACAGTCGGCTCAAAGATGGCGGTAAGGTTGTCAGCCTTACACCCTGGCCACGCTTTACTCCCCAGGAAAATTATTTAATTAATTCCTGGTACTCATTTCTGTTTGAGGCTGAGTGAATCCCAGGGCCATAGTGCGGCTGGATGGGTTAAGTCACTTGAAAAAATCCAGTTACCTCATCGGAATTTGAATCTGCGACCTTCTGGCTAAGTAAATGATTTGATCTCCAGAGTATAATAAAACAAAATATATGAAGGTGTTCTGAGATGTGACACAATCATCTCGAAAATGAAGGGAGCAGTTTTGTTAGAGAAGTTGGTAACTTTGTACCAGACTACACGGTGACACATCTCAGAAGGCAGTAATCTTATATTCACTGTTATGGGAACCTCAAATCTCTGGTCCGGTGATTAAGACTAGCTCTGTCTAATGGACTCTGTTGAGTACGAGGTGTGTTCAGGAAATAACGGGAATTTTAAAATTTCGCGGGTTTGGAGAGTCCAATTGTCAAAATTTTTTTTTATTATGTTGGTATACATGCCCCTGAAGTACAATAAAATTTTCAGCTGTATTCATTGCTTACTTTGTCTGTGGCAGCCGCTAAGGTTAGACGTGTTTTTATGAGCTTGGCGATTTTCGTTTGTTAAAAGAAATGGATCAAAGAATTTGTATCAAATTTTGCGTAAAAAATGAAATAAAGTGTTACAAAGTGTGTGAAATGTTAACAAAGGCCTATGGTGAGTCTGTTATGAGTAAAACAAGAGTTTACGAGTGGTATAAGCGTTTCCAAGATGGCCGTGAAGACGTTGCAGATGACGAGCGCCCCGGACGCCCCAGCACATCAACAACCGATGAAAACGTGGAAAAAGTGAAAGCAATGATTATGAATGATCGCCGAATCACAATCAGAGAAGTCGCTGATGATGTTGGCATATCGATTGGCTCATGCCATGAAATTTTTTCGCACGGATTTGTGGAAAAACAATTCATGGCTTTTGCACCACGATAATGCACCTGCTCACACTTCGTTGCTTGTTCGTGAATTCTTGGCCAAAAACAATACTGTAACGATGCCCCAGCCTCCATATTCGCCAGACATGGCTCCGTGTGACTTTTTCCTATTTCCAAAAATAAAGAGAACCTTAAAGGGCCGTCGTTTTACAAGCATAGATGACATTAAAAGCGCATCGCTGAAAGAGCTAAAGGCTATCCCAAAAATCGAGTTTGAGAAGTGTTTCGATGATTGGAAGAAGCGCTGGTGTAAGTGCATAATATCGAATGGGGACTATTTTGAAGGCGACAACATTAATGTAGACGAATGAATAAATATTTTTTCCAAAATACGGAAATTCCCGTCATTTTTTGAACACACCTCGTATGTGCCACTCCACCCTTTCATCTGAGGGTGAAGTAGATCCAGTTTCTGAAATGCACTCTCTTAGAATATGAGACAGTGGATGAAGTCGAGAAACTCAGCAATACACTTCTTGCAGTATAAATTAGATATCCAGTGTGTAGTTACATTACAGCCTGGAGTAATATATTTTATAACTTCCTGTTGCCTGCACAGATTTTTCTGCTGTCTGCATCAACTATCTCACATTGTTATTTTCGAGTAGTTGATAGTGGGGATCTTAAACAAGGTACACAAAATGTATACAAAAGTGTGCAGTCTACACAACAATATTCTGTATTTAAAACAAAGCAGGCACTATCATATCAACATTTGTTTTTATTGACGCTACATGTCGTGACCCTTATACTGGGTCATCATCAGACATGCAGCGGTACCAGACTCGGTCGTTGAATTGCCTCTAATTCTTCAATAAGGATCCTTATTGTGCACTTGAGTGTTTTTAAATGCATAAATTGAGTCTTTGCAGTTAAAATTTTAAAATACTCAAATAATAAAATTTAAAAAAAATTAGAGACCAAAGATTACAACATAAAAATTAAAATTATACTACAATGGAAGTGAAATGTTTTGTGATAAATCTCTTTAAAACTTTATGATTGCTACATGTTGATGTGATTTTCTGGTGGTAGAGGTGACTATAGTGTGGGGCGCCTGCATATCGGGTTCTTCTCGCATAAGTTTCGTTGTGTGGTCTTGACCTTATTATCATCTTGTGGCGCTTACGCTCATTATTCTGTATGTCACCCAACAGAGCTAATCTCAATCACTGGATTGACATTAGCTTTTTCTAAGGGGCCCACCTGAGTAGGTGTCTTCCTTTCTCACCTGAAAATGGAAACAGATCCAGTTTCCAAAATGTCGTGTCCTCTATTACCTAGAATTCCAGACAATGGATTAAGTCCAAAAACCCAGTAATTCTGTGATTCAGGGAACTGTTTCATGTTCAGATGTGCTGAAAATCTGTAAATCTATTGAACTCTTGAGACTAATTTCTGTTTCATGATTCACAGTACTTTCTCATATTACAATACAAGAAAATAAAAAAGTAACAAAGGTAGGAAGTTTGGTTAAGTGGAAGTGGACCATACATTTGACTGGAAGATGGTGACTACAACGTATGCCTCAGAATATATTGTAGATGAGTCACAAATGCTGAAGATACATATGTTCTGAACAGTGTCTGAGACCATGTATCATTGCGTTGCAGGATGAGGTGCGATCACAAAATACGGTCTTTGTCATTGTCTCGGTAGCTACGACCAAGAAGGGTAGGGAACTTGCCTGGAGTTTTTTCAAGGAGAACTGGCAGGTGTTCATGGACAGATATCAGGTATGTAACTTGCTCTGGGTGGCATGTTTTCCAGGCTTAACTAATTTGCTTTTTATCATAACTCCTGCAGATGGTTCGTGATATGCTTGCATTAGTGCAGCAGTGCAGAGGCAAAGAGTACATGGAGCTATACAGCCACACTCCCCCATGTGTTGTCATGGCAAGGTGCTTAATTAAGCATGTGGACAACTTCACTTTTTACTCTACAAGTAAAATCTACCAAGTTTGCTGAATACCACTTCAGTTATGTGTGTGAGTCCTGGGTACGTATTTAATTCACTTTACATGTAACAACAGACAACCACCTCTGTGGTCTAGTGGTCAGAGTTCCTGCCTACAGATCCAGAGGTTCCGGCTTCGATTTCCGGTGCTACAAGATTTTCTGAGTAGTGGGTCTGGAACGGGGTCCACTCAGCCTCGTGAGGATAATTGAGCAGCTATTTTGAGGAAATAGTGGCTCCGGTCTAGAAAACCAAGATTAACGACCATGGGGATCCATTGCGCTGACCACACGACACCCTCTATCCACAAAAGTTGGCACTAACTATGCTGACAAGCAGCAGTCGCCCGGTCGGTATAGTTTGCTTGCGAACTACAGGCCACGGAGTTTGTTGTTTGTAACAACAGATTCATCCTACTGAATGTTGCAGTGTATTTGGTTGGCAGACCTGTTCCATATTTCAGACATTCAACATGCTAATCCTGGTGTCGAAGTGAGGTGTCTTTACATTTTCACAGTTTCCATCAGTTACTGCTAACATCACTGAATTAATTTTAAAGCTTCTTTGGTGACATATTGCTTAGAACTATTATTAGGAATTTTGCCTGTTGTCTGAGTTTACTAAAATAGCTACATTTTGGCAATTGATTCCACATCTGTCTTCACATAAACAGGATGTAAAGGAAACCAGCTCTGTTGAGCCTACAGGTAGAGACACCCTTAAACCTTGTCACTTAATGTCCTGTTTACGTTATGGTGGGAGCCGGGATAGTGCCGTCTGTATAGCAACTGGCTACTGACTGGACGGCTGAAGGGTTAGAGTTTGAGTCCTGCTAGGGTCAAGAATATTCTCCATATTGTCCAGGCTGTCTCTGGGGCCCGCCAAACCTGCTATCCAATGGTTACCTGGGGCTCTTTCCTGGGGGGTAAAGCAGCAGGGGCTCACCTCCAACTAGTGCCAAGGTCAAGAAAGGTGGATCTATACATCCACTTCTACATATGCCTTCATGGCATAGTGCTTAATTAACTAAGCACAGGGACTAGCTAATTACATTTGCATTATGGTGTGCTCACACTACTGGAAATTTCAGCAGAGCTACTGTACAACCACATTCCAAAATTTACTCGCCATAAACATGGACGTACAACACAGTCCAAGATAATATTTTTGAACACAGGGATGATGCCTTGTAAATAGGTCATGCATGCCAACTACCACATGCACCCTTTCCAATTCACAGTTGTCATACCATTGAGCGCTGCATAATCTGTGTAGCTGGAAGACTGTCATTATATAAACTGAGAAATGTATCTTTCATAAAATGTGCATTTATTTTGCAGGGGGGCTTTCTTTTGGCGCGACTTGTGAAATATGTGACTCAAAATTTTGTCACTGAGGAGGATGCTGAGGAGATAGAAACTTTCTTCAGAGATCATCATACCCCAGGAACAGAGCGTTCAGTACAGCAGAGCTGTGAGACGGTCCGCTTGAACGCAGCTTGGTTGAAACGTGACCGTGATTCTGTGCGCAAATATCTCAGTTTTGGCAAATAATTTGGGAATTGTACCAGAATGGCTGGGTTAATAATTTTAGTACATAAACCAGTAAGGCAAATAAGTGTGTGATTCTCCCGATGACTTGAAACCTTTGGAATGAGTTAAGGGTATTTCCATCAGCTCTGTACAGGTAGAAACCTACTACATGTATTAGAACGTGGTGTTCGTTAAGTCAGTACTGTATTTTTGGTATTAATTTGACCTTGAAATGGAGCAGCAAGGAATGGAAAATGAAGTTCCATATTTATATTAAATAATTTACTTCAAACTTTTTTCAGAATATGTTGTTATATTTGCATTACGCTACATAGTTAAAATATGTACAATATTGGTACAGGTATTTATAAATTACAGAATTTATTTTCTGTTAATTTTGGTAATTTTGAGAAATCATATCCGTTATTTGACACTTAATCAAAAGTTGAATGTCACATATAGTTATTCTGTTTCTCCAGGTCAGGACTTTATCTGAACATTTCACAGGGAATGGAATATTGCATCATAGCATCATGTTGTATATGTAATGTTTCATGTCTTTGTCCATGAACACAATCTATATATAGATATACTGCTCATTAAAGGTTTACATGTTTCAACCTTTTGGGCATCATCAGGTATTGTGCATGGACCCTTGATTTTTCTATTTTTCCCCTACATTGGACAATATACCTATATGTACAGGTATATGTATATATGGATACAGTGTAACTATATATTTATTCACTCACGACAGTAGAAGTATGGATGCCCATACATTTCATTGTTTTTGCAACATGTTTTGGCTCATTAAGCCACCATCGGGTATTTGACTTTCATCTGCTAATATTCCTACATTGGCCAGTGCTTAGATAATACTAGCAGACAGATAAAGGCGGATGTAGATAAGTGAAATACCTGATGATGATTTAATGAGCCGAAACTGTGGATGTATGATGGATGCATATTTCCTCTTGTGGTGATAGAATAAAACAAACAAATTTCACACATATGATATGATGCCAAAATATAATATTTCTAGTATAACTATGTCCTTTGGTGCTGCTCATTTTTTTAATCATATTTCTTGATGCTGTGTTTCATGATGGAAAAGTCGCAGACATGGCAAAGTCAAATCATTTGTCCTACATTTCATCATCCCAACCTGTGCATATGTCCATCAGTGGTAAATACTAAGTTTCAAAGTTGTTTCAATTAGTTTAATGGAATGTGTTATTTTCTGTGCACTTTTTACGCTAAATCAGACATAACAAATATGATCTAGTGTATCTAGTTACTTGTTAACAATTATAAAGCCTGACATGTTTGACTGTATATGGCTGTTGCCTGGGGCATGCAACTTTATGTAAACTGATGATTAAAATTTACAGGAATTATTTAAAATTGATCATACATAAAGTACGTATGACATTAAAAATTAGTTTAATATAAGCCAGTGAAGTGTAAATGTAAATTCCCTATGACATATTGAAGACAGCGCAGTGTGGAAGTTGGATTACCTTATCTTGTTTTGCATTTATTCAGTTCTGTCTTCTGATATATGTGTGTTTGTTGTTGGACTGAGTCAGTCTGGCAACACACCCCACTTGTTGGACTGACTCAGTCTGAGAACACATTCACCACTTAAGAATATACCTCAAGGCAAGATCAAATACTTGTTTAATTATTTATTAATAAAAGGATTAGATACATTAGAGAGTATTTGTTATGTTTAATTTCTTGTTTCAGTCATTTTATATTTTTGCTATGTGTATAATTAGCTTAGAATAATTTACAAACAAATGACTTATCTTCTAGCGTGTAATGCCATATGGCCTTTTAGAATTTCATTGACATTTCAGAGGATCTTCATGTTTTCATTGTAGAAGGGTAAATGAAAGAAGAACCCAGGAAGTAACAGGCAGTTTGCTTCAGAACTTCCTTGCATCCTGTTGCAATGTGAATCCAGATTTAAGACTCTCACTGTTTGGACGGAGTTGTACAGAAATGGTGAATTGAGAATCCTAAACTTGCTTCTTTCTGAATGCTTGCGTGGCTTGTTCTTCAACTCTGATGAAGATGTGGGCAGTACATTCCTCCAGAATAGCTGTGGACTGCACAATATCACATCTGAGATCAAACTGTTCATAGTCACTGTTGCTAGAACATCGGATCCAACAAAATTACTCGTCATTGAAGTTTAAAATATAAATGGGAAGAACGTTTCATTGTTGAGTCTGCTCTTGAATCTTTGCGCTACACAGATGTGCACTGTTTTCCCAACATTCCAGGGGCACATATTGCTTCCATCTTCCAAGGTTGCAATTTGAACATGAAGATGGAGGCAGTATGTGCCTCAGAAACAGTCATATTAAGGGTCTGAAAAGGAACTGATGTTTAAGTGCTCATAACATGTATTAAATATATTGGGTCCTGTTATGATGGTAAAAATGCTGTTTGACTTTAAAGTGATGCAGTTTTATGTGTAATTAATGTATTTTCATGGGTAGTTATATAAAGAAACATGCAAACTGCTCAAGTTAAGAAAGCAGTCTTTTCGGATGTGGCGCTGTGTAGATGTTGTGTTAACCGATGTTTTGGAGGAACATATTGCCTCCATCTTCAGGGTAGAAGAAAAAAAGAAGAAAAGCCGCGAGCAAGGAACCAGTGTGAGCAGGTGCTAACAGACTAATGTGGAGTCAAACCCAGCTGTATAAGAGCAGGAAGAGAAGGGAGAGGTGCTACATGGGAAATCAGTAGAGAGGAGAGGGGAAGGGTTTGGGGAGGTGGGCCAGCAGGTAGCAGGCCAGAGCAGGTATAGAGTATAGTGTTAGGGGGAGAAAGGCAAGGTTAATTGGAGGGCATTAACCCTGAGGCTTGGGGGCTGCTATGCAAGTCGGGCATGGACCTGTGTGGCCTTGTGGATCTTGTGTCTTGTCCTGGAGGTTTCTTGAAGGAACAGATGAGAGGCTTTCATGACTTGCTGAGACAAAACCCCAACCTCTCTGTTCATATTGTCGGGATGGAGTTCAATCTCAATGGTGTCCCTAATGATGCGGCCCATGTATCAGGTCTTGGTGGCGTGGATGGAGGTTTTCTGAAGCTGAATGCATGAATCTGAATAGCAGTTTGGCAAAATTTGAAGGAAAAAATCTGCATTTTATAGTTAATATTGTGAACTAGTGTTCTTTTTCAGTTGGCAGACTTACAGGTGAACTTGCCTTAATCAAAAGCCACATCTATGCTGGTGCATTCTGTGTTTCAGTCTTGAAGCTGGTAAGGAGCACGAGAATACAAGAAAACAGATAGGGACTAGCTCTATCTATTGGGCCCAACTGAGTAGGTTTTACCAGAAGACGGAGACAGAATCCAGTCTCCGAAACATTGTGTTTTGTAAAATAAACATGACGAGATTTAGATAAAGATAAGGCGATGGATAGTGTTCAAAAACATAATACTTGTACCAATGTACCATTGTCACAAACTTTCAGAAACAAAGCAGTAGTATGAACTGTGTTCAGAACTGAACTGACCCATTCATCTGCTCATGTGTGACAAGTGAAAAATCAAGATTGACAAATGGAAAAAAATGTCTTAATTTATGTGTTAATATTCTCTGTCGCTCTCTCTTTTCCTTTCTGCACTGTTTTCAGAAAGTAAATTTGAATATTAAATGATATGTACACATTATATAAAAATGTTTTATAATTGTGATATGAGAACTCTGATATTATGCAATTTCAGGTTACTATAACAACATATTATCAAGTGTTAGCACGTTGCATGTGCATAAATTATGTAGTGAGTCATACACAATTACATGCTCTTTTGTTTCAGTGTATTGTGTCTATTCTGTAAGTACTGGTAATATTTTGGTATGAAGTGTCTGACACTATATAAAGGAGGTAGTTTACAATTGACTATTTGTGGCTGTTATGTGCGGAAGGTGGCACTATGTCAGTCACATTGTATCATTCGATAACATGCAGGACTGGGAAGTAATACAGGAGAAAGTAAGGGAAGCTTATATAACAAACGATGAGACGTCCTGTTGAATTCTTAGCTGGTATGGCACTGATATAAGGGATAGTACTTCATATCTCTGCCTGTTATGTGATGGTCAGTAGACTGCTGTGGAGCAGTTTGCAGTTGTGTAGCTGAGCATGGTTTCTGCCTTGGAATCTTACGGCAAGTAGGATTTTTGTCTGACCGGTGAACTACGAGTAAGTGTTATTTGTTGACCCCTGACCATATTTCTGTTGTGTAAAGTTGTCGTCTGCTATGTTCATGTCTGGATTAATTTTCTTTCAGAGGTATTATGTTTGTGGAATAGTGTTCTGAATAATTGTGTCTTTGAGGTGCAAAGCATGTACCTTGACATGACATAGAAACAGTAGTAAACTTAAGACAACAAATATGGTCTAAAACTTCTTGTTCTTAGTCCTTGCCATCTTCGAGCAACTTCATCGATATATTAATATTCACTCTTAAAGGTCTTTATCTCTTCTCATTATACAGCACTGCATGTTTCTGCCTACCTGGCCATCATCAGGCATATAAGATGTTGGATTAAGGGAACATGCTGTTCTGCTTTTCTTTTTGATATAAAATGCTGCTAAAATTTCAGATTATCATGTAATTGTTAATGCATGTGTCTGTATGTTCTGTTAATGTGTTAGTTTATCTTTTTGTGCTGTGTGTAGCTGTTCTGAGATCTAAATGTTTGTGATGATATATTAACAGAGTTGACTCTTATACATATATTTCCATCTCAGATGCAACTTATGTCTTGTCATACTTCTCTGCCACTACTTGTTTCAGCCATAAATGACCATCATCACATACTGAAGATGAGGCACACACATGAGACCATAATGGATACTATGGGTATTGCAAAAACAAGAAAGAGGCGCAAACACTTAAATACCTTAGAGAAATATCACATTTATAGAACCAGTAAGATAACTTACATATAAATGAATAACACATTGACACAACCCCATATTCAAGGCCTTAAACAAACTTTGCATCAGACAGCACACACCCTAGTCCTTTTCTTAATAAGTGGAACTAGTCTCACAGAATGTTCATAAACTATACATACACAAACAAAGCAACAACATAACCAGCCCAATCTATAAATCTTCAAATCACTCTAGCATATGTAAGTATAAGAAGTAAACTAATGTACACAAACAAGAAAGATAAATAATATATAATAATGTAATTCTTATGTATTACAGATAACACGCAAGTAATACCACCACATTGATATCAGTACACGCTGTGTAAATAACACACGTGAGTAGGATGGCAAACAACTATCAAAAGCTAAAATTAATAACAACAAAAATATTATATAACACAACACAGTATTTACACATTACAGAAAATACCCGTTTTGCAAGAAAGAAATACAGTGCCACCGAATCCAACATCAGCAAATATACTCTCAGATAAATATACATCAATGAATAGCTGGTGCCTACAGTGAAGATAACATTCAACAAGTTTTAGTTCCAGTTCTTAATTATAATCTTAATATCGCATTCACAAAGGATATGTAATTTTAACATACAATGCAACAATTTTTGCAAAATAGACATGTACCTGGTGATGGCCAAATACAGCTGGAACATGTAGTGACAGAGAAGTGAGACAAGACTGTAAGTTGCATTTGAGATGTAGACAAGTAAATACATTAATGCAACAGGATGCTTAAATACAATTAATTACATTTTGGACATCTGTATTCCTGTTTTTTATTTATCCTTTCTGGGACCAAGAGGAGCCCTAATTTAGCCATGAAAGTATAGAGGGAACCTGCTCATACGAAAGGTTACCTACATTTCAAGTCTGACAGCCCCCATCATGTGAAAAGAGGAGTTTTTCATAGCTTGGTCACTAGGGCCAAGGTCGTATGTCAGGATCGAAAGGATTTGAACAAGGAAGCTATCTTATCTTATTCTTAATGGCCAATCACAATGGTCATTTGGTCTAAGTCATGTCCTGTCTTTGCTCTCTCAAACACCAGGATTGTGGATTTGAATCTCACTCAAGGCATGGATGTGTGTTTATGTTTATTCTGAGTTTGTGAAGGTAGTGGCCGTGTAACGGGCTGAAGTTCTACCTGCTCTCATATGATTAAGAAACTGAAGCGAAACAAGCATTTCACAGACCTGTGCTTCAAAATGTGAGCAGCAGGAAAAAGAGAGGTGCTTAATGAGTCCTGACAAGAATGCAGTAATGTCATAATGAAAATTAGGAAAAGCAAACTTCCTTCATCAGATAGAGTATATTATGGCCCTGTCATCCCATATCTTAGGGCTATTTCCAGAAATTAAGACACATTGGAACTACTTCAGAATTGGGACCATTTTCTAAACTAAACATACACTTCATGGGATATTGATGAAAACTGGATCAGTTAGAGAAGCCTAGCAGATGAAGCAATGTGTGTACAGCGTCCCCTGTGGTTGTGGCAGATGTTACTTAAGTAAAACAAGCAAACTTGAAACATCAAAGAGAGTCCAGTCTCTGAAACGTTTGTTTAAATTAAAAAAAAACAGGACGACAATGTTCAAAACGTCAGTAATTGTATTAGACAACATATATTAAGGTTATGGTCTTCTGGTAATATGTATCGAGTCATGTAATGTAAAAAAACAATCTTATGAAAAAGCACACACAATATACATATAAATAACAAATGCAAAGTATAAAAATTACCCTGTTTAATTACAGCAAAATCTCCACAGAGACATAAGTAACTATGTGTATCAAATCATATAATTCATATATGTAAGTGTTGTTTCTGTTTTTCAGGTATATTACACCAATGAATGGCAACATTGTAGTCTATTATGATGCTCATGCCCTACCATTCCAACCAATTACTAATTACTAA